TATATTGTATAAAAGAAATATATGTTATAGACGACATAGATGACATAGAAGACATATATGATTTCTTAGGGATCAACGTCATCCTTTAGATCATCATTATCCATGTCTTCTTTTGTGTAATAATAGTTAAACTAAATATATTTCATTATTTAATATTAATATCTATATATCTATAGTAAATAAGATATTTTTAAGTATTTTTAGTAAATTATAACAAATATTTAAATGGGTATTATCAAATATTTGAATTATTTTTTCTTTAATTTAATAACAGTCAGAAAATTTATAGCTAAGATCTAAAACATTTATTATTTTGATAAACTTTTCATTCTTCACAATACTGAAAATTGTTAATCAGTAATTATCAAATAATAACTACATTATTCTACTTTAATTTTTCTTTTTCAGATCAAAGATTCTTACATTTAAATTTCAAAGTTATTTACTTTCAAACTTTTTAGATTACTATTCTGTATTACTCAAAAGATGTCATTCAATACTAGAGTTGTCTGATTTAATAGAAAATATATAACCATATATTTTATATATTAGTATTCACAAATAAGATAAATTTTTATAATTTATATAATTCTATATTAAAGTAATTTACGTAAAAACTTAAACTTATTATTTATTATCTATATTATTGATATTTAAAATATGCATATCATTTAAGCTGTTAAAAATTGTTTATTATTACAAAATAAAATTTAATGGAAAATTATATTATTATTTTTTTCTAAAATATAAAACAAATTATTTTATAAAATATAATTCATGTTTTATCTTTTTAATATTTTGAAGTACTATATATTTATCTAATAAATAAATGAATAAAAATAATAGAGAGATTTTTAAATTATAAATTTAATAATATATATAAATAAGTATTGATAAAACAAAAATATTTATTTATATTGTACTTTTTATGCATATATGATAATAGTTAATATAAAATAATAGGTAAAAATTTTGTATTTTTAAATCTAAATTATATTGTATAAAAAAAAACTTATTATAAAAATTATTTTAGTAAATATTAGCATATCACATTATTAAAAAAATATTTTATATCTAAATCAATATATATATATTAATATATCACTATATTATCTTATTATTTTACAATTCTATTAGTTAGAATTTTATAGGATCAGATATTTATCAATTTTAAATTCAGACCTAAATTCTATAAACTAATCTTAAGACTAAGTCTTTAGGTTTAGAATCTAGGATTTTACTATCACTATTTATATCAGCAGTTATTTTAAAAATTCATAAAGATTTTCTGATATATTTTTACTTAATTTAATAAAAGTATTTGATTATACAAACTGATTAAATAGTAAAGAAGAATTTATAAAATATAATAAAAAACAATTGATAATATTTGTAAAAAATGGTTAAAATATAAAATAATAGTATATACAAATTTTAAAAATATAAAAATTAAAGTATTACTTCTAAGATTATTTAAAATTTATTATAATACTTTTCAAATATTATCAAGTTATTAAGAATTATATATTCTATTCCATTTTTTCAGTTAATTGTAAATATAAATTTTTAAAGCAAAATTAAATAAAAATTGATTTGAAAAATTCTTTAAATAATGAATATTATATTTTAAATAATAGTTGATTTTAAAAAAAAAAGATTTACCATATAGTCCTGAAAATAAGCACCATGTGATATATATGAATTTATTAGTATATACGTGATAAATAGTATAATAAATTTTATGTGATAAATAAATAAATTACTATAAAAGGAGCATGTTACAGAATACTTATTTTTGGGAATATACGATATCTGAATTGATTATTATAAATTTGAAAATAATATATATATATAAAAGAAAAATTTATTGGTTAGTAAAATAATTTTATTTTAGATAACTTAGCTGATAAAATAATTTTTATTCTAAATTTTTAATTGATAAATAAATTTAATCAGATTTTTGATCAGTTCAATTTCTTTTTTAAGCATTATACTAAATCTAGATTTACTCTAATTTATATTACTATAAAACAAAATTTATGATATTTTATATATTTTTTTTTTATTATTATAATTAATGTAATATATATTAAATTAAATTGTTATTAAAGAATATATATAGCTATAGAAAATATTTAAAAAAAATAAGTAAATTTAAGTTTTATTTAGATTAAAAAATTTATTTATTGTGTTACATTTACACTTAACTATATTAATATTTTAGCCAATCAAAATCTTTGATGAAAGCGTATTATTTACATTAGCACGTGATAATCGCAAAACAGACGCGCTTTTGTTTATTTATTTCAAATATTTTTCGCTTAAATAGTTTACCTTCTTTTGCTGATTTAAAATCTTTACACATTATTTCTTTACACATTATTTCTAATAACTGATGACTGAACGACATCCAATAAATTATATTTTAACTGTTCTATCAATACCCTTCCAATATAATCAAATAATGGAGTTGAGGTTGGAATCATACTCTCACTTTCCAGAATCATATACCCAATACAATATTAAAGAAATAAATAAAGAAAGAAATAAAGGAATTAGAAAAAATTTCCTGTTGAAAAAGATGATGTTGCACAATATAACCTTGCGATATCATACGAAAACGGGGAGGGAACGAAAATTAATTATTGTATGAAGTGAGGATGTTGGACGATACTTTAATCGCTTGTCAGAACAATTGTTGAGAGCGAGTATGCGACGAAGGATTGATTACGTTGAAACACAAAAATCCTGAAAGATAGGAGGACGAACCATATATTGAACTTGAAGAAGACCTTATCATGCAGTAGTCGACTTATTATCTTTATTATTCCCAACTACCTTTGAATCTCCATTTTACCATATTCCCATGTTTGACTTTTTTGTAAATTCCTCTATCATTTTTGAAACTCTATTCTTTCATGTAGACAAAAATTTCGTTAATAAATTAATGCTTCTGAACAATATTCCCCCATGTTTGACTTTTTTGTAAATTCCTCTATCATTTTTGAAACTCTATTCTTTCATGTAGACAAAACTTTCGTTAATAAATTAATGCTTCTGAAAATATTTTTATTTTTTTGAGCACATACTACCAGTGATGTGCACTCGGAAGATTGGAAGCACTCTTGGAAGTACCTTTGGAAGCTTCCAATCAAATTTTTATACTATTGGAAGCATAAAATGCACAACACTGCTTTAAAACCAAAAAATAAATAAAAATAATAATTTCAAATTCTAATTTTAACCTGATACGTAAACCTATTATATTTTATAATTACCTTATGAACAAATTCTTTAACGGAAACTTTGTTAAAAATTAAAAAAAAAAAAAAGATCTTAACACGTGAAGTATTCTAAACCGCGTTGCTAAATGGTTAAATTCGTAATGTACTTTGTAACATAGCACAAACTGTTGAAGATTACTATAATTAGGTATGTGAAAAAAAAAACCGACCCGATTTAATACATTAATTTGTTCAGAATGGATTTATTATAATTGCTTCGTTATGGTGGACTTGAAAGGTAGATTTTCGTTCTTTTTGTTTTCGTTTTTCTCATATAATTAATTATACCTTTTTTTTTTAATAAAAAATTGGGAACATCTATATTGTGGAATTGGTTTATAATGTAAACTAGGAAATGATAGTTGTGATTCCGGAGCTCGCAAAACATTTGCAGCACATGATCGACGCGTGAGTAGGCAGAGATACGAAATCGATTAGGGTTAAACTTAATTGTTCTCCGGAAAGTGCTGGCAATCCATTATCCATTTGAGAAGGTATGAAATAAAAACTATTTCTCATGATTTTTTTTTAATTTATTGACATTTATTTAATTTCAAAACTTTATAATTAAATAAATAGTAACCATGCTAAAGTCAATTGGACGATTATACTTATATTATTGCTTCGAGATCAACCGGTTTTGCTTTATCGCAGTATAGCATTCCTCAAGAATTTTTATACAATTCTATCGCTCATATTGGTGTCTCATCAACTGATTCTTCTGATGACTAACAGATTTCTTGGAGAAACAAACAATTCTTCTGTTATAATAGAAAATGGAAAACAACGACGAATGGAAACAACAAAAAATTCTTCTTTTTCTTTCGTAACAATTAATGAATGAAAATCGGCAGAATTCTAATCAACAAAATCTTCTTAAAAATTCAAATAGCTAATAGATCATACGAAATTATTGAATTCTTTTTACGACAAATCAAATTCACAATATTATCTGGAGCTGTATAATTTTTTGAAAATTAATCAACATCTTATTTGCTGATATTTCAAGAACTAAAAAAAACAATTTCTCTATTAGAACAAGTTAAATTGTAAATTTTATTGGTGTAGCCAGTAAGATGCTATGGAAGAATTCAATTTGATGCGAAGTTACATCTATTTTGAAAATCTAAACTCATCGTAATTTCATACTTGGTAAGAATATTCAAAGTCACTATGAAAGTTTAATATTATCGCGTCGAAAGTTTATTTATTAAATGTTTAATGAAATATTGTTGAGATTATAAAATTTTTTATCAAAATCTAACGCTGGATATTTAGACTGCAAAATTTATACCGGAATTTGGATTTAGGTGTAAAATTGGTGAAGCTTCATAAACGTGTTCAGTTAGTGGATCTATTGTCGTATTTGTTAAAGACACTTCTATTATGATTCCTGAACTTATTCACGAATTATTTTCAAAATGGCTTTTTGAAAAGGATGATGCAGAACTTACAAAGAAGTATTTGTGTCAGAACCCCAAAACAGTTTTTTCTCTTGCCGAACCATTTCGGCTCTGACAAATATTTGTTAAGTTGATAATTGGGTTCAGATGATAAGCTTATGATATTGGAAATTCTGGCGTTCATCATGCAATTATTTCTGAAGATATCAATATGTTTACTATTGATTCTTAATCTGATTCAACACTTACTGCAGCCGATCCAGAAAAATATTAAAAAGATATTATTTGCGATGAATTATGAGAACGTGCACGTAACTTCAGTTGCTACATACTCAAGAACTATAAAAACGGAAATTTTCAAAATTCTATCAATTGTATTGGTTAATAAAGATGCATATGAAACTGCATATCAAGCAGGAACCTGAGCTCTCATGGAGTTGAATTACTTGTACAATGTGGAAGAACCTGAGACTGATGATTATATGAAAACAGATTCAAAATTTATTTTTGTGGATCAATCGCAAAAGGTATGAGATATTATTAAATTATTCAATTGATTTATTAAAGTGCAACAAATATCCCGAAGGCGATATAATATTTCAATCATTTTTATCTAATCCCGCTTATCCTCAACATTAATACACAGGAACTCTTGTTCTTACAGTGAAAGTGAAATTTAGATGAGACAATTAGATGGTCTGAATAATAAAATTAATTGCGAGATTCCTGCATTAGAAATTTTAGACGATGGAGTTGATGTAGTGATGTTTTATATTCAGTTTGAGATGGTTCTGCAATTGATTCTGGTGTAACCATTGAACCAGAAAGCATTGGAACTTTAACTTTTACAAATGGAAGTATTGGAACTCTGAATGGTAAATAAAAAAATATTTATATTCAGTATAATGTATTATGTTGTTCTGTTATCATAGGGTATATGCCATCATTTTCACTAACACATCATTAACCATGTGATGTCAAAGAATTTGGACCCTTCTTAAAAGGAGAATTTTTACTATGTTACATGAGATTGCTATGATCCAACTTATCGTGATAGTAATTTTGAAATTCTATCTGATTTATTTATTAATTAATGGTCGGATGGTGTTTTCCGGTCATGAAGATATTGACATTTCCGGAGATTGGATATTTGGATGGCTGAAGATGAAGGCATTTATCATCTGGTAGAACATTTTTTTTTATTATTTGTCTTGAAATTTATTGAGGATTAATTAATGCTAGTATTCTGATACCTTCACTTCGAAATGCTTTCTGATATTTAAACACGCGTGACCGTAACCGTCTTCAACATCTTGCACTCAATACCAAAATCATAAATATGTATAGAATAACAAGACAAAACAATAAGATCCCCAAAGATGGCAAAGGTTTTACAATACAGGTAATTTGGATCAGATGGAAATGGTATAATAATGTTTTTAATGACGTGGTTATAATCTTACAAATTTTAATTCCTTTTTTATTTTTAACTTTTTTTTTAAAAAATCAATAACCTAGTCGATAGAGATAAATATTCTTTTTCAGCTATCTGTATATATGGAAGGAAATGTACTGTTATATTTTATGAGTTCGATAGAAGAAGATGAAGCGGGAATTACGGTTTGCAAGCACAAAAATCATAGATTTATTAAACAAATAAGGGAATGAAAGTACCAAGTTGTAGCGTTATCGAATGGTAAGTTGCAAATTGATTATTAGCTTTAATTCTTTCAATATTACCTAAATGATAAATTTTTTTTCGCATTAGTTCTTTTAAAATTCTCTTGAAAATAGATAATTTAATTGATACTGCCGAATTTACATCATAGAAACGAATTCGAACGTCCAATTCATGATATTTGGGCTCAAACGTATACTGTTGTGAAAATTTCTTTGGTCTTGGTAGACATTCAATTTAAGTGACAAGATTAATTTTGAACTAAGGATGACTTGACATATCTCTTGGAATTGTCTTTGCGATCTGGTTCGTAATGTACCTTGGTGAGAACTTGTATATATGCATTTTTCTTATATGGATTTGACTTCAATTTTAAATTATGTTATATAGGTTCATTGAGTTTACCTTTTTCTAAATCCTAGAGTTCTTGGCGTTAAACTTGCTTCAGCGCACTCACGCCAAATAAACCTTTCAATTTTGTTAGATTAACTTCTGCATGAGCATTCAATTCATAAACTCTTGTTTTCAATCCTTTCTTAACTTTCAATGATAAATCGGTATAAAGCTTTTTTTTTTTATTTTGATAATAAACACTTGGTTTAAATATAACATTTATGTCTTCAAAATACAAGATACTTATATAAAAGGTACATATTAATTATTAAGATAAATGTTCTTATTAAAAATTTTATTGGATTTTAATAAATTTAAAATATATAATTAGTCAAAAATAAAATGAAGGACTATGGTATTTAGTACAATGATTCTCGTTTTCTAGTAAAATATAAATAAATTTATTTAAAAAAACTTTAATTTATATTATTAATAATACAAAATATGTTTAATAAAATTATTTAAAATGAGTTTATTTTATAAATTGTTATTTATGAATTTTATTTTTATATTAATAAAACTTTAGATTTATAGTAATAAACCTAATATATAATATTATAGAATACTAAAAGAAATTTAATTTGATCAAAATGATCAAATTATACATAATAAAATAAATTTTCTTACAAATATTAATTCAATTTTAATATAAATTTAAAGTTATATAATTATGAACTTGTTGAATAATCATTAAAATAATTTATGATGACTAAAGATATAAAATTATACTATAAAATTAATAAATAAAA